TGACCTTAATATACATAATTTATGAAATTCAATAGGATTGGAAAATGTTCCCGCTATTAATTAGTGGATTGCTTGAGATTAGAAAAAAGTCAAGGAATCACAGCTGCCCCTTGGGCCAGAGCTTATCGTGGTTGCTGTAGCATTAACAGAGCTTGAACTGAGATGAGAAGTTAAAATTTATCTTTGCTTCTCTCTCTTACCTGGTTATCACAGCAGTGTGTTTTAGTCAGTGTGCCTGCACATGTAATTCTTATTAGAGTACTTATTACAATATCCTAGAGTTGTGTAAGAAATGTGCTATTGTTTTTTATGATGTTAAATAATGATGATAAAAATAAAAATCAAAAGGCTCATCCTACTATATACAGCATGAACTTAACATGCATGAACATTTACCAGTAAAATATAATTCACCATTCATCATTAATCTATATTCACCATTAATCATGAGATATATATATATACATCTGGGGAAGCAGACTTTCTTTTAATTAATTCTGAGTAATTAGTGTTTCTCACAGCCTAGCTTATGTTACATTTAGGCTAATTAGTAGTGTCAGTATAATCCATTTTACATTTAGTTCTACTCTCAGTACTCTAGAAGTATTCAGGAGTCAGAGATCTCATTACATCCACAAAGACAGTGCATGATTTTCTTCTGAGCGTATGTGTTTGGCTTTTTACATTTTGAGACAATGAAAAGGGTTGTTCTTTCCTGATAGTCCCTGACTGTATGCTTTTCTACATGGCCTTGTTCTTGCGTGGCTTTGTGGCCCAGTTTGCTTAGTTCTACACCTAATTCTCATGGGGTTGGAAATTTTTTAAAGGGCTTAATGTTCATATGCAGTTACAATGTTCTTGTAATTACTTAAACGCCTCATAAGCCTATCAGTGTGTAAATGTTTTTTTTTTAAATATCTGTTCTATGTAGACCCAAACCAAAATGGTCCAAGTATTTTTTTTAAAGTACATTTTAAAAAATGAATTGAAATAATTTTCAGCAATACATTAATTCAGGTTCTTCATTACTCACTGGTTGAATTAACATTTCATAGATTCGAAATATCGGCGCCATTGTCCTTGCAGCCTGCTCCGGGGGGGGTGACGCTTATTGACTTACCCAGTCTGATAATTCAGCTTCGTTTTGTCTCGGCACTGCCAGGTGAATCCCAGGTGTGTGTCGTGTTTGCTGTCCACCTCGGGCTGAGATAAAACAAAAGTTTTGTCGTTTGGATGGATTTCATTTTCAGATTCAAAGAAATGAACGTTTGGTCTGACCGGAGTAGGCGGAGTTTTCCTGCCTGTTGCGTGACTGTCCGTGTGCCCGATGCTTCCCCTTTCTTCCCAGAAACCAGCAAGGTGGACTACGTCCTTTTCCAGGCGGCCACAGCGATCATGGAGGCGGTGGTCCGAGAGTGGATTCTCCTAGAGAAGAGCAGCATTGAGTCGCTGCGCACATTCCTGCTCACCTACGTCTTGCAGAGGCCCAAGTGAGTGAGGGGAGCTCTCCGGTGGCACTGGCGCCATCGGGCTGTGTAGAATTGCTGAGCTTCGAGCAAGCTGCATAGCATTTTCCATCTAACCAATAACCTGATGTGTAGGAGCTTTGACAGTTATTTGCCAGTAACTTA